GCGAGGGTGTGCGCAGTACGACGTGTGGGCGAGTGGGGTGTGGAAGAGCGGGGAGCTGAAGCGCCCGGCTGACCTCCCCTCAACATCTGACGGCTCCCCAAACCAACTCCAGATGGAACTTTTTCTGCCAGAAAGGCCTGGCCATCAATCAGAGCTCGGTCCTCCTCTGGCTCCCACCTCTCAGTCTCCGAGTGCACCATTGAGCAGATGATTATACCGGGGAGGAAGGGAGAAGAAGCAGCACTCCACTACATTAATAGCTGTTTAAAAAACATTAGAAGTGCTATCCCATGCATCGCCTGGAGCTGGAATTTTTCATTACTAAACTAAATATATAGTATGCAAAGTGACAAAATCTAGCAGGGATCTGGGTGCTCTGGTTTTAAGTGGGAGAAGGACTATTTGGGGGTAGCCAGGAGAGAGACCAAATAAGCATGAAGAAAGCAGAGAGAGAGAGAGAATAATAAGTAAACAAAAAAGATACTGTGCAAACATCAGAGAGAGTGAATTTATCATAAGGCTGTGTGGTTAATTGTAAATTGACCTGAAAATACCGTAACTGAGAATTACTTGGAAGACCTTGAAATCCAGCTGTTTTGAAGACTTGCTTTGTGACCTCAGACAAGTTACTGTCAAACTCTGGGTACCAGATTTTGCTTCTGTTTATTGGGGATAATGAGGAGTGACATCAGGGTCTTCTTGTCAAGATGAAATCGAAAATCAAATTACAACCAAAGCAGCACACTCAGGGCCTGGCTCATAGTAGGCACTGTATAAACGGATTCGTTCATTCACCTCCAATGAAATGGCTAGAAAGTCCCAAACTGTCTTTGCCCCTAGAGACAGACCTTATTGTCAAGCCAGGTAGCATGCATTCCAGGAAAAAAAAAAAAAACCAAATGACCACAACATTCCAGCAGTGGTAAATGCTACAAAGGAGAAGGATAGCGCCCTTGCTTTTGCCCTTTTTTGAACTTTTGTATTTTCCTAGATTATTGTAAAATTCCTCTTTGCCAATGAACAAAAATAAAACCTCATGCCCCCCCCCCCAAATTCCCTGGTGAAGCCTCCCAGCTGTGCCAAATGCAGCCTTTTTATATAAAGCTGCAAATACTTAGTTCTGCCCTTATTATTAAAACCACAACAGCCGGAGTGAAACGTCAAAACCATTTCACTTTTTATTTGGCCCTGTCTTTCTTGCTCCTCAAGGGAGAGATTTGGAGAGTCGCATCCACCCTTTCTGTGAACTGCTTATCGCTGAGACTCCTCGGTAGGAAAAGAAAGATTTTGAGAGACTAGAGGGAATGGATGGGGTTTCTGGAGTGATTAAACTTGTAATTAAATTGTGTAACAGAGGAGGTGGCGAGGGCAGAGGAAGCTATGGAGAAGAATTCAACCTCCCTGCTGTCTGTCCCTGGAGGAAACTGTTCAGGCAGCCCCTGAGTGAATTTTTTTTTTTTTTTCAATTCCCAGCTTCCTAAAGTTGAAGAAAAAAAAAAATCTGGCCCTGGCTGGGGAGGTGAATCCTAGCATTCTGGGAGGCAGAGATGGAGGATTCCTTGAGGCCAGAAATTCAAGACCAGCCTGAACAAGAGTGAGACCCGATCTCTAGAAAAAATCTGGATAAACAGTATTTATGTCGTCCTTACATTTCCATTTCCAGTTATGCCCTGGGGATATCTCCAACACAGCAAGTACCTTGAAAACAAGCAGCCCTGTCCCCATCCTTAAAGGGATGTGTCAGCTCCCCTCTGGGAGGGCTTGCCCTGTAAGACTCCAGGTCAGCCTCTGGGGAACACCCCTAATCTCCTTGTCCTCACTGGTCACTGAAAAACCAAACTTTCGTCCTTCAACCTGGGAAAGAGGGATGAAATGACATACAAATAAATCTCCTGAGGAAAGCACTAAGGTTCTGGGAATGTTAGAGAAAATACTCAAAAACAACCAACCAGCCAATAAAACAAAAACAAAACAAACAGACCTTCACTTGGAAATACTGGTCCTTAACCCGTAAGTATGAATTATGTGCATATTCTTTTAGAAAAAAGATGCCAGGTCTAATCTCAGAATTTCTGCAGGTGGGCTCCAGGCAGGGCTCTGGAGAAAGCTCTACCACTCAGGGCGTTCTGGTGCACAATCCTGGGGGGTGTTCTGTTGGTTTTCCTGCTGCGTGTGATCCCTGGAGTTTGTAAGATCAAGTAGGGGGTCGTTCCACCAACAGTCCTGCCTTGAAATAGAACAGTTGGTACTGTTGGACAAAACCTCTGTATGAGGAATTGGGTTGCAATGTGAAATCTTGTTTATGGATCGTGGCAAAACAAATATAAGGGGAAAAGGGGTGGTAGGTAATTCCCAGGGTTAGTTACCATCTGACCTTTTAACTCTGGGACTCTGCAATCCAAGGCGAAGACTGAGGAGTCAGAAACTCTGGTAGAACTACTGGCAAGTCGTACAGTATCTCCGGGCCCTTGTTTTCTTATTTACAAAATATAAATAGTAGTTCATATTCTTCTTCCCAATGAGATTTATCTGATGCTTTAGGGAGAAAACCTATTGAAATACTTTTTAATCAAGATAGTCTAGAGCAGTGATTTTCAACTGGTGTGCCTTGGCGTATTGGTGTGCCGTGAAAAATTTTAAAGATCATTAATTTCAATGAAGATACTTTTTTTTTTTTTTGCAATTTTGACTAGGCCTGGGTTTGAACCTGCCACCTCTGGCATATGGGGCCTACTCCTTTCAGCCACAGGCGCTGCCCTCAATAAAGATATTTATTAATGATTCATGAACTATTTGCAATAATTAAACATACTTTCACAGTCATAAATAACTATTTACAAATATTTATTAATATAAAAATATTTATTAATTAAATAATTATGGGCAGCGCTTGTGGCTCAAAGGCGTAAGGTGCTCGTCCCATATGCCAAAGGTGGAGGGTTCAAACCCAGCCCCAGCGAAAAAAAAACTACAAAAAATATCTTAAAAAGAAATTCAAAGCATTGTAATTTTATTTTTTCCTTCTGAGCAACATAATTTAAGTGTGCTGCAGAGGTTTAACTATAGGTTCAAGTGTGCTGAGAGATAAAGGTTGAAAAAGACTGGTCTAGAAAGTACGGTTAGCACACAGGCCCCACTGTGAGCATAAACCAGCTCCTGACTCGACCCTCAAAAAGCTCTTCCTTTGGAAAACACAGGAAGAGAGTGTCACCTACTGTGTGTTAGACACTGAAGTACTTACAACCACCCTTGGAAGGTGGGCATTGAAATGTCTTTTACAGATAAGAAAACCGAGGCGCAGGGCAGTGTCTGCAGCTCAAGGAGTAGGGCGCCGGCCCCATATACCGGAGGTGGTGGGCTCTAACATGGCCCTGGCCAAAAAGGCCGAAAAACTCCAGAAACAACAACAACAACAGGAAGGAAGGGAGGGAGGGAAAAAAGAAAACTGAGGTGCGAAAGAAGTAAAAAAAGTCCCAATATATGGGAACTAGTAAATTGGAAAGTGGAGGAACCAGAATTTTAACCTACTCTATACTTATTAAGGAATTACTGTTACTGAATCCATTCTGTGTTGAAGATGGAGGTGGTGGCAGCGATGAAGAAGGTGGTGATGATGACGACAATGGTGTCACAATAAGAAAACATTTCCTACAGCACCAACTATGTACTGATCTACCAACTATGTAAGCACTGAGGATAGAAAATTCAGCAAATCAGCTCTGCCTACATAACCTCATATACTAAGAATCCGGTGTGGTGCCCACTGTTACCTTCTTTTCCAAGGGAAATGTAGGTACTGGTTTGTACTCACACAACTAGCTAGTGCTGTCAGAGTCCCACGTTCTATATTGTCACTAGCTGGAGATGGGTTCAAATCTGACTTCATTCATGCAAACATACAAACCTTAATTCCTCTAACCACGCCAGCTCATAGAAGGATTTGTGAAGCCATGATTCATAAAAACAAACAAACAACAAAGACTACAAGAATCTATGTCACAGATTCCAGGGAAAGCAATTTGTTCCATTTCATTTCCCCTGCCTGGATAGGGACGCGCAGAGAGACAACAGAAGCCATCTTGCCTCGGCTGACACACACCCCAGACACAAACCAACAGAGTGGGCGGCGGGCTCGCAATGACCAGGTGTCATGTTTGCGAAATGTTCCATCCCAGCTTCCCATTTGGAGTTACAGAAGGCAACGTCAAGGTTGTTTTTCTCAAGTCCTTAAAAGTTAGTGATAATTAAACATTGATGGCACTTTGTACAAATCAGGGTCCCTGATACAGCCACTTCGGAGGTGTTATTTCCAATGGAAAATGTACTTATCTCTTAAAATAAATGACCAACTTTTGGAACAAGTGAAGTTCCCGACAAACGGCATTTAGGAAGATGGGTTTTCTCATCTGGTTCCTCAGTGTCCCAGAGTCTCAGAGGAGCCTGCTCTGTCCCTGAGAACTCTTGTCAAAGTTTGACATTTATACACAGTTTGATGTCTGTCTCCAACTGGATTATAAACTCCACGAGGATAGAAAGCTCCTCTGTTCTTTTTCCATCACTGTTGCCTCAAGCATCTCCATGTTTGAGGTATGTGCACACATGTGCTCACATACAGAAGCCTTCAAAATGGTACACTGAGTGGAAAATAAATTCCAAGCTTGTCCCTTCCTCCTTACTAGTATTAAGACATGCCCTGAGTCATTCAGCACCTCAGGGCACTGAGAACAAGGTCAAAATCATCAAGTCTTGCTTTGCATCATGTTGAAAGAAATTTTCCCCCTTGGAATATCTTGACATTGTGCTGAACGATTTTTTTTGTTGGAAAGGCAGGCAGGATGGGAAATAGCTACCAGTGCTTCAGCACTGCCGATTATTAACACAAAGTAAGAGAAAAAGCAGCTGTTATTCTAAGTATCAATGTTAGTCCCTTTACACACAGGATCTAACTTCATCTCTATTGGAGCTATATTAATAAACTTATTTTTAGCACACCTGTTCCACAGATAAGAACGAGCAAGGTCTTGAAGATGGTAAGTGGCTCTGTTTTTCACACACCCAACAGGAATCTGGGGTGCTTGTGACAAGGGGCACACAAAACTTGTAGCCTCCCTGTGAACAAATTCCCTACATGTGAAGAAGAAGAAAATTATTAAATGTTTGTGGTTGGGTGTCTGGGCGATCACTGTATAATTTTCTCAACTGCACTGCATATTTGAAAAATGGCCTAAGAAAATTTTCAGAAAAGTAGAGAAAAAAAGAAAGAAAGAAGATGGTAAGTGGCATAGCTAAGTCTCAAATCCAGGTCTTTCTCTGAAGATGCTCTTTCCATCATTTATAGTTGACCTCTTTGTGGGCTGAGAAGGTAAGAGTTATGATTCAACCCCAAGTATTGTTGAGATATTCCGACAAAGTCCTGAAGTATTCTAGGCAAACTTGGAGGTTACTAAAAAGGCATGAGACCTTATTCCTGCCACCCTAAGATCCAGAGCCCCGGTAGGTTAATAACGTTGGTGATGAAAATATCATTGATAACATTTTTAGTAAGAACAATCACACCATTGGAAGGGCTCTCACCATGTCCTTGCCACTGCCTTAAATATTCTATAAATGTAACTCCCTTAATGCAACCTACAGCTCCATGAAATAGGCACAATCCTGATTTGATAGATGAGAAGCTTCAAGCGCCTAAGAAAACCATCTCAGGTCACTCCAAGGTTGCATGATGACATCTGTACCAATCCAACTCGGATACCGGAGCCTAACTTTATGACCACTATTACTTTTAATTTTTTATTTTCAAATCATCATAGATCTACAGAAGTTTTAGCAAATGCAGAGAAAGGTCTTCCTCCACGTGTCGCAAGGATAACCTTTGACATAATTGTAAGACACGGTCAAGACCAGAGCGTTTGGCTGTTGTGTTTTGCTATCGATACCCCTCTGTCACCACCATTGCCATCTATCCCTGAGTGACAGCTGGAGCTACCCACCACTGCCACAGATAGAGTTGTATAGACAGAAGGGCAGATGAATGAGTAGAAAATTGAACCATGCAAAGAAACGCTGGTGAAAACTGTTGTCATCAGAGAAAGGACAGAGAAATGCATTTTGAATTATAATGCAAGGAGGATTCCTCATCTCCCGGGCATGGGGGAAACCTCAGTGCTGAGCAGACCTTCACTACCCATCTTCTTTCACTGGTCTACGTTTTTCTAAAGGGGGGGGGTAGATGTTGTCTGTACTACCACCAGAGTAACATCAGTGTCAGATTCATATTCAAGATAAATTTAAATAACTTGCACCATTGCTAATACTATTACATTTAAACAAATCCACAAAAGAAAAAGGATTCTGTCCCCTCAAACACCTTGCTTACTCTTACCCTGCAGATAGGATTTGGGGTAATATCGCAGTGTAACTATTCCATCACAGCTATCCAGAGTATTCTCTGCCTGCTTCTAACGTAGAAAAGTGATAGGTTTGGTGTGAGACAACTTTATTTGTGAGAGACGAATTCACCATTCAGAAAGAACCAAACAGCCTGGAGAGACCGCACCTTCACTTGGGTATTGTTGACTGAGACATCCCACTGAGATTGCCACCAGGGGTCTGTTACCAGATTTTAAAAATTGGGAGCATTAAGTCACACCGCTGAAAAGAGAATCATACGCTCTCCCTCATTAGGATGATATTACAGATAATAGAATATTCTAGTGAAGAGAAAAGTAAACGTCCGAGAAAGAAATCAGGGCAAGAAGTGGATAGCACTGTCTCGGGCACGGAAAAATGCTGAATCATTTCCACTCACATCACAGTATCAAGTTTCCTACCCATCCCGAAACCTTACGCCCCACTTCCATTAATCAGCATTTTCTTGTTCAGCCCTTTTCCCAAAGCTGAATCCCTAAACTGAGCCTAAACGACCCCAGGGCTCCGAGGAGTTAAGACTCACCAATGACTCGCTGCCCCCACCTTGTTTATAATGAATTTTAAAAAGCAAGCATTTGTGTGCACTGCTAATTATCCAGGTTCCAACCACAGTCCTCTCACAGGCCGTAAGCTTCTTCAGGGCAGGCACTCGTCCCACGGAGCCCTTCTCTTCTTCCCTGTTTTATAATCAGGCGTTTGATGTGATAAATATCAGCTGGCTTGCGTCCACCTCACTTGTAGAAAGATGTCTAATCTGGTTATTGCAACAGGCAAAGATGATAAAATACGACCTTGTCTTTCATTGTGCGTTGCGTAAGTTTTAGCCTCTCACAGATTGCCAATTGGAAAAAATTTAAAAAAAAAGACTGTCATAAAATGAATTATAGTTGGACTTGGGAGGAATTAAAAGAGACGCCAGAAAAGCAAGGGCGATGAACTATTCAAATGGGCAAGAACATAATATTCCTGGAATTGTCTCAGCAGCTGAGTATTAAGAACCTTCTGGATGGCAGGTCCTGTGCTAGGTCTGGGGGCTACGGTGGTGAACAGGACAGACCAGACACAGCCCGGTACCCCCATACTTTCAGGCTGGCAAGGCTCACAGGGACAGTCTGGGGATTTACAGCACACCGGGTTATGTGCCATGAGAATAAAAATATCAGGAACTCCAGGTTTATAAAAAGAGGCTTTCCAGAAGAACTGATGTCCAAGCTGAGTGAAGGGTGAGCAGGAAGTCAGGTGGTATTACAGAGGTTGACAAATAACATGTGTAAAGGCCAATTGTACCAGTAAAGGTCGGGAGGGAATCTCTCATATCCAGAGCATCAGAAGCAAGGAGAATATAGGAAAATGAAGCCATGAGGACCCTTTTCCAGAGGGTCAAAATGTAGGGCTCAGATAGAGACCTGGTGGGTTCTGGATTGTTAGGCTGTTGAGAGCAGAGGGCCAGGTCTGTCTTACAGAGCCCTTCAGGCCCAGCACTACAGAATGCACCTCCAGAGTCGATCAGCAAACACGTTTTGGCTAAATCAAAGAGTAAAGGCCAAAAGCGTCCACCCAGGACAAAGCTGTCTGTGCGTTCCTTTGTCTTATGAAAGGAAAGACAGGAAATGTCAAAAAAGAGAGGGAGATCATAATTTAAACTACACTCAGACATTACCGGGTCACTTGAAGCAACTCAAATGCTTGAAATCTAAGACACAGACAGAGGGGACAAAACGAAAGTCAGTTTAAGTAAACAGGACAGTCACGATCTTCTCCATCACCATCGTCACAGTAGCTCAGCCAGGGACGAAACGTAAAGGTTCCTGGGAGCGTTCGTTCACATGCACATTATTGTTTCGAGCTTTACAAATATTGGAAGGTCGTTAAGATGGGTGTTGTTCATGGTCATTCAACACAAGAGACAGCTGAGGTCCAGGTAACTCAGTGACGTGCCCGAGATAAGATACTTAATAAATGTTCTATTTGTGAGTTAGACTCTAGATATACTTCCACTGCATCGAATTTCCTCCAGAACTTTTTATCCCTAAGACCCAACAAGTCCAGCGATATCAACAGGCTTCCTCGCATGATCCATTTGTGGGTTTACCCTCTTCCTATCTCACAGTTTTACATGGAAAATAAGAAAAGTGGATATGGAGATTATGAAAATTGAAACACAAGTGGCTAGACCTCTCATCAGAACAAAGGGGGAAATCAAATTTTATTGGCTTTACAAATTCAATACAACCCACTAAGCATAAGCATGCCGGTATTGAGTTCTCACTCTTTTTGTGGGTGTGTTTAGAGAGATTAAAGCCAAATAATTTCATCTTCCCAAGGGAAGAGCCAAATTCTGTAACTGCCCTGTCCCACCAGGAGAGTCTCATAAGCCCATACATCAACCCACGTACCCCATGAGACTAAAGAATCGCAAAGCTTTACTATTTGATCAGGGCATAAATATTATTTTTCTGTCACTAAGGACGTGTGGTCTTTTAAAGACAACTAACTCTTTGACTGAACGCCGAGCTGAGTGGGTTGCAGTTTGGACTATAGCAAGGCTGAAGTGACTTATGGAAGAAAAAGTTTTCATAATTTCAAGGTAGCTCCAAGGAAGACAATAGGTTTTTTGAAATATGGAAAAAGTTTGCCTTATTAGTAGATAAGAGGGAAGTGGCCTGGCGGAGTGCAATTGCATTCAGCTGCGGACTGTGCAGAAGCCCAGCCCAGTAATTGTGTGCAACTTAAGACACTGCTTAATATGTCTGAGCAACTCTGAGGCAGCTACAGCCACGGAAACTAAGGCTGATGGAAGTAAAAGAAGTTTAATTCCAAACGCCATCAGAGAACGGCCTTACTGTATTTTGAATGTGATTGTGGAGCGTGTGTTTTTGCAGAGCATAACTAACTGCCCATTGGCAGCAGTCACGCCCTTACCAGTTGTCCTTATTGGATTCTAAACATGTCTATCTACTTTAGACAGAACACAATACTCTCGAAACCCACTCAACTCAGCCACAGATTCTCCTTACACTCGATCATTATGTATTCACATAGCTGACTTGTATTATTAAACACATACTATATAGATTAAACTGTTTTCGCCTCAAATTCGAACGCTGACATCCCGGACCCTGGGACCTCAGAACGCGAATGTACTTGGGAACAGGGTTGCTGCAGATAGTTAGTGCAGAGGAGGTCCTCCGTGAGCAAGGAGCAAGGGGGGGTCCTCAGGCCACGATGACTGGGTGGTCAGGACATTTGGACACTGACCTAAACACAGGGCAAAGGTCAGATTAAGATTTGGGTGGGTGATGACGCCACAAGCCAGCAGATGCCAGAGATGGCAATAACCACCAGAAGCCAGAGAGAGGCACGGTCGCCTCATCTCAGACCTCCTGTCTCCAGAACTGTGAGCCACAAAGTTTCCATTATTGAAACCACCCAGTCTGTGGTTGTTATGCTAATAACAGGGGCGAATATACCAACTGTGTGCCAACCACTGGGGACAGAGTGAAGCCGAGGCCCCCGCATGGAGCTGGAAAGTCCAACTCCAAAACCAGCTAAGGAAGCCAGGACGCCCGGGCCCCTCCACCTGTTGTTCATAATATTTATGAGGAGAACATTGGGCCCAGAATAATTGTCATGCGATCGATCTCATTTGCTCCCTGTGAAGCAGGTAGGTTAACTCTGGTTGAGCAAGCTGAAGAATTTGAGA